CGAAATCTTTTTCAATGCAAATCCAGCCTCAGAGGGGATGAGTTTCTTCAGATGGCTCCCGATTTCTTTTGGCTTCATGAGCATGTCAAATGAGCAGAAACTGGATCTGAAAGAAAATAAATTACCTTCTTAGACAGATGGGTTCAATATTCTTACTGGCTTGACTTGGTTCAAGTTTATTTTCAAAGGTGGAATATCCTTTACCACTTTTATGAAATCAATCCATTAACCTGGCAAAGCTTGGTCTAGCTGCCTTCCAGCCATTCTAAAAGTGAACCATTTTTAGCCTTTGGAAAAAACATCATTTAATGTTCCACTGTTTCTACAGTTTTTAATGAATAACAGAAAAAGCTTACTGAACACAGTGGTAACAGTATTGTTTGTGGCCCTTTTTAATTACCACTCTTGTGCTTTGAGAGGTAACCGAAGGCCAGACGAAGGCGCAGTAGAAAGCACGGTGTCAGCACATCTGCCTGCATTGATCTCGCCTTTGGCTTGAAAAGTTAATTGCACATAACACTTTTTCATTGAGGATGTAATTTACTCTGGTTTGCAGGCAGCTGAATTAATTGATTAAATGTAGCTCAGGCTGCATCAGTCTGGGGAATGTCCTTAATGGAGGAAAAAAGCTGTATATTTAAAAATAATTCAATCTTCTTGAAAGTCTCCAGGCCTGGCGGATGAATTTAAGTCCCTCATAAGTTGCAGTGCAATGCGGTTTATGAGCTTTGGTTGCCTTTTTTTCCCAGAGGCAATGTGATTTTGAAGATTTAGTTGTTCCCTTTACTGTTGCTTTTTTAAGAAGCCGTCAAAATAGCATGTCATTTATTCTTTTAATATCAGTGCTTGTACCCACCACTTTCACTTGAAGTGTGAATCATTCAAGATCAGACATTTCTGAGTCATACGAGCTACTAAGGGCTTCTGTGCTGTTTCTATACTATGCTCTTCTGTCAGTATGTTTTATATACAAAGCTGTTTTTTGCTTTAAGAAATATAAAACACAGCTGCATTTCCAGCAACTTCCTGAATGACTCCCTGCTTCTGCTTTGATTCTGGCCTGTAGTCAGATTTAACCCTAAATGTAAATCACAACATTAATATATGGACATTCTGGCTGTTTTTTTTTTCTTTTCAGAAAATGCTGGAGGCCGCAGAGATCCCAAAGACCGATAAGTAACGAGGAGCAGGGAGGCCAAAAACAGCGCAGACTCTGAGCATGCAGATTTAAATCGGCATATGAAGAAGCTGCCCCCAGGTGTTTACATACAGTGTATAATACAGCGTTACATATAACTAAGCACGAATATGCACTCCTGGCAATGTCCTTCACAAAGACTGCTTACTTTGCTGACAGTGCAGGCCTCTGGGTCTCAGTCCATTTACTGCATCTTATCTGGAACAATTCCAGTTTGAGCTTTACTCTTTAATTATTGTCTCCAGGTGATTTTAACTGGGTTGTATGTGGAGCTGATTTTAAAGGATGTCAAAATACATGTTGTCCCTAAGAACTTATAAAAGAGTGGGCAGTGCCTTTATTTATCAATATATCAGATCACGCGCATTACTGCTTTTGTGTACCGATGTCATGTGCACACTACATGGTACTTGAAGCCAAGAAGACTTGATACTCCATTCTCTGAAAATAAATAACTATTACAATAACAAGTGTGCTGCTTTATTTGCTACCTGGCCTCAGTTTGTGTTGATTATATGCAAGTCAGTATCTGAAGGGTATGAATTTGTCATTACATTAGGCTTCATGTACTGGTTTTCTAGGCTATATACAGTGTAGTGGTCTCTGTATAGGTGGATATACTCTACTTTGTAAGGGATCCCAATATGCTCAATAATTAAAGGATCCTAAGCTGATATAAAAGTCAGTTTAAGAAAAAAGGATTAAATAAATTCAGTTAAATGTACTACAGTCCATAAGACTATGAAAATAACATTATTTTACATAAGTGCATTAATTCATGTATCAAGCATGAAAGTTTAATAATAAAAAAATAGCTGTCACACTCAGCTTTATGCTTTTTTATTTAGAATGCTATGCGTTGTAATACTAAGTTTTATCTGTGATAGTAGCATGATAGTGAGAAGCAACACATGGCACATGCTTGCTGGTTATTCGACTCATGCTGTCTTTACTCTCAACGGTCACAATCACAGACGTATCTCACTGTTTTTGTAAGCGCATACCATACTTTAGTCTCCCTAGAGATAGGAATATGCCCTATACCTGCGCATACCTGCCACTACACTGTAAGTCATTTACCCATTTTATACAACAGAAACTCTCATACTCACTGGAAAGATGTGGTGTTTGGATTTTGTAATTAGCAGATGAGGCAGTTCTTCAGAATGCAAATAGCCTTTAAATTGCACTTCAGTTGACTTGATCTGTACCTTGCTACCTGATTTATTGACAGGCTAATTTTTCCCGGCAGGTAAAATAGCATGGCTGTCAAAGTTTCTTTGTGTGGAGAATACCGTTGGTACTGCTAGCTTTTTAATCAGTGCAAGGCTAACTGCTTCAGTTTGATAGTAAATGAGGTGTAAATCTCTGACCTCAAAACAATTAAATTACAGCTTTTTATGAAACAATTTAGTACATCCTGAAATCTCAAATTTCATCCCATTCATTTATAATTATGTTGATAGAATTTAGAATTATTGTTGGAGTCAATTTACACACTAGTGGAATACAATTAAACAATAATAAACAGTACAGTTTTTTTTATTTGAAAATATCCTGAGAATTGTATAAATGTACTTTATTGAATATTATTATAAATGAAACAAAACGAAATTAAATCACTACCTTCCGATTGCATTTGTGCATTTTAACAGCCCTAATCTGAGGTGGGCTTCATGATGGTACTCGCAGTGGACTGGTAGATGTGACGAAAAATGCTGCATCACCAAGCCTGGGGAACTTAAGGACAGCCTGAAGACACGCTGTGCTTAAGCACTCTGATGCCTTTTAAGATGAGTCAGACTGGAAACAAACACATACATACGGTCCACTAACCACAGCATCAGGGCAGTGTGAAAGGTCATCGTAGTCATAGTGCGCAGGACAGCTCTAACTAGGGCACAGCTTATCCCCGCCTGCCCAACCTCTAATGCCTCTCAGTCATTTATTCCTAGTGTGTGGGGACAGTGACAAGCTGGAACAAACTGAGGTGTGTGTGTGTCTGATGGCCTGGACAGCGCTGGGTTACTTGAGACATCTGGCAGCAAGAGTTGGCAGTAAATTACGGTCGAAAACCTTTCAACAGCAGCAGTTTGAGCCACCACTTTATGTCATGTTTTAACTTCTCTCCTAACACTGGCCAGTCAGGTGAAGAACACTCAGCAAGAATGTTCTCCCCTCTGCAAATCCACATCACGGTTTGGTAAACAAGAACTCTTTTGGCTGTGACTCGGTAGCTTTTGGGTTAGATCCCAGCTGATGGCTACTGTCATTACACCCTTGAGGAACGCACTTACTTCCAAGCCACTCCAGAGTTACTGCTGTTATTCTAAAACTATGCTTAACCCTTGGTGGAGTTATAAATGATACATTTTAGCTGACAAATAATTGCTATAAAAATACCTGCAATTAACAATTTGTATTTTTTAGTCATTGTATGCAAACATTGTATAAGTACAATCCTAATGTGGCCAAATTGGCCAATTAGCCATATCACTAGTCAAGCTCAAATAAATAAATAAACATTCATCATTGCTGCAAGATGCCTGTGAAGAAAATGGACATTGATCCAAATGTTTTGATGACATTCTGTGCTGTGAAAATGCAACGCTTCTTCAACAGACAGGATGCATAATCCAAACGTCCTAGCACCAGTCAAAAGTTAGGACTTCTGTTTTTGTGAGACTCATGATGTGGCTATTTTTTTTTTTAAACATATATTTGCCTTAAGCATCTGATAAACACCCTCAATTCACAATGTTGTGATGTAAACATGATTGTGAAAACTAACAGCAGTGGAAAATAATTAAATAATTGCGATTGATGTAACTGTGACAGGTCTATCTCCTCATTATGATCACAAATGTGGAGTCAATTGGAAGTTTGGAATCTGCATTTCTGACACTTGTTTCAATACATCATGCTTTTCCTACAGCCAGTGACTGTTTCTAAGGGTTATTTGGCGTCCTGGAAGCCAGTTTTCACATTACAAGTTAAGAAACCGGTGACCAAGGTGCGAAATAGAGGGGGTCCTGGAGGGCTCTGGGGAGCTCTTAATTAATCTCTTGGACCCCCCTGAATGTCTCAAAATAAAAATTCTAAGGGGTCCCTCATAAACTTATGACATTATGTTCATTAGGGTAAAATTAGGTGCTCAAATACAAATTCAGGGAAAGGTCACTGTTTAGCCTGCTTCACCCACAAAACTGTGAGCTTCTGTCTTTGACATTCTTAGAGACTCAGCACTGGTGTGCCTCAGGGTGGCGCTGTAGCAAATTGGTTCACCTTATTTGTCCTTCATGGCCTAGCAACTGTAACTATACCCGACATACCTCTGAAAAACTTTACAATACTCCACACCCTATTTTTAAATCTCAAAACTTGCCCAATTTCCCAAGAGATATGTAGAAAGGGTGACTTTCCCAAACCGAAGACGAGAGATGTGTAAGATCTGTGTGTGGAAGATCACATTAGCAAATTAAAAAACAACATTCTTCTAAAAGAAGAATTGCTAAACCAAACATTTTGCTGCCATTGAAGCTAGCATCAGTATCACTATGGCAAGTGAATTTGCAGCAAACATGGGACCCCCGAATACCAGGGGGTATTTCACAAACTGCCTGTGACCACCTCCTGGAACAAAAGGGTTTGCTTCCTGCCTTTAGTGAAAAGCATATGTACAAAACAATAAATAAACATGAATTTAACATAGTTTGGTTTTAAGAAGCCCTTACGGTGTTTTGATAGCATATGCTGTAGTAAACATACAAAAAAAAAAAACAAAAAAAGACAGAAGGCCAAATGTAAAGACATTTTCCACAACATTTAATTTTTCGGACATTACCATAGCTATATGTAACTTCTGAGGACAAATTTCAACAACAAAACATTTATTCATTTTGCTTTTTCACTGTCGTTTTTCTTTATAAGTCAGTACATGGTTTTGGTCCAGTAACATTTTGTGGTGGTTCTTTTCCCTCAACGTACGTGGATCAATTATGTCAAACGTACAACACATGCACATGTCATTTCACCTGTTTACATCAGGGTAGGACAAAAGTCTGAGACTGACATTATGAATATAGCACTGGTTTCTTTTTCAACTTTGCTAAATTTGTTTGAGACACTCAGAACTAATAAGGCTATATTACAGCTATGAACCAAGATGGCCAACACTGCAGTTCTATAGAGAGCACCATATTTACATCAATATTTACAGACCTTATTGTTTAAAAAGAAAAACAAAAATACTCAAGATAATTTTTTTTTTTCGGTCAAGTGAGCCATTCTAAGGCTGTACATGTTATGAAATATAAAACAAAAATATGTATATTTACAAATAGCTGCAACTTATAGCTTATTGCCAATGCCCTTTAAAATCTCTTACCCTACCCCACTCCACTCCACTCTGGTTCAGCATGGGCCCTTTATAGCTTTGATCTCCCCCTCTACACCAGGTAATGGTCATTCACAAGCCAACTCCTGACGCTGTATTTCCTGAAAGAGTGGCCACATGTAAGAAGCTTGTTAAGGTTTCAAGAATACCTGGAGCCAGGCTGCTAGGTGATGAACCAGCACGGCTTTAACTCTAAAGCCAACCCGATGCCTGTTTTCAACACAGCATTTTAATCAGCAGTCTTTTCGAACAAAATAAACTTTTAAAAACATATTTACATACCCTATAGACATCTAAGGCCAGTCTTAACTGAAGACTGGCGCATACAGTAACATAAGTGTGAATTGCGAAAGAAAAAAGGAAAAAGACTAAGGTGAGAACAGCTGGGCTGAGATTTAGAGCTTAACACCACCTAGGAATTCATTTCCTAGTGTGGAGAGAATTATGCAGGTCTTAATTTTTCACCTTTCCTCCAGGAAAAGAAAATAAGCCTTCAGAACACAGCCAAAGTTTTGAGCATTGTTGTCTTAACGGATTCCTTACAGATCGGTACAGTGGATGCAGCACGGAGCTGTGCAACTCCAGCAAGCCTACTTTCTCCAAACCTGTGGGCCTCGCATACTACTGCAGTGCCAAGACCCAGTCGTCTTAATATCTACATGTTGATGCACGAGGACAAACGAATATGCATACTGTTTGGATATGAATGTTACTTCTTTGGATGTATTTTTAAATAATTATATTCAGTGGGTTTTCGAAAAGTTCAATTACAAATTCAGTCGCACTACACACACTATCCTGCTTTATCTGTGTTCACGTTGTAGTATATATATTTAAAACTTTAAGACTGAATTGGCAAACTAAAGCTTATTTATCAGAACCACAGGAAAACAATGTCAGTATATCACAAATTCCAAGTTACACAGATCCTCTTGTACTTCTTACAAGAAACAGTTTGATTTCCTGACTGATTGTCAGTAAAGTTTTGTGTTAGGAAAATACCTCATTAAAAGGAAAAAAGCACATTCAATCGTAGATGTAAAAACTGCTTGTTATTAGTATTCACAATTCTTTTAAATAATAAATCCTGCTGAAAATAGTTTGAAAGTCAAAAACCACTATTATACACTATTCAATGTGTAACTGAATTATCAAATAAGATAATTTGCTAGATTGTAAACTGGTGATTTAGTTTAAGACGTGGGCAGTAATTAAACCTGGTGCTGTTTCTTCAACATCAGCTATTGTTTTATTAATAAAATAGGCTTTTGGGAATTTAAGTGCTCATATTAACTAGCATGTGCTACTATGTCACACTTTTGGTTATATTTATTTATCTTTATTAAATATTTTATTGTCATACAGATCTACAATTCTATTTGATTGACTGGCCAATGCCCAACCACGTACTCCATCTTAAGCGCTTTTTCAGGAGATTAAAAGTCATGGGAAAAGAAGTAGAGAAAACAACAATCAGCAGGGAGTCAAATGTAAAACGTTGAGTGGGACTAAAAAGGACCCTCTTTCAAAAACAAAAAAAAACAAAACAAAAAAAAAGGCTAGCAGCGTGCACCTCATAAAATCCCAAAAAGAAAAAAAAGGAACTCAATAAATATGTTGTAAGAATGATTAAGACGACATAGAAGGCAGGTGGCAAAAAGGTCTGCTGAGGGTCAGGAAAGGTCATACACAGCTACTGGAAGAGTACTCAAGTCCTCATTATGCTACAAATATGGCGATAAGAGCAATCCGCTACGAGGACCAGTCATGCGACCCGCCATCATATGACCTGGCAGCAGCTGGCCTGGGCAGACGTACAAAGCAGCCCGTCCCTTGGGCTCCTCTGGATGTTTACGGAGATGGTTTTTTCACACAGAGGTAGCTGGAGCACATTGTTTTTCAAGTTCAGGTTGTTCTCCTTGGCTAGACCTAGTCCATTCAGCATGGTTGCCGTTTGGTCCGGGTAACGCTCCACTGACCCGCCACTGACATTCCTAGCGTGACCAGGCATGGCCACCTTGTCCAGGCTGCTGTTGGAGCCGATGCACATCTTCCAGGAGGACTTCTCCTGAACTTTGACGCTAGAGAGGCTCTGCGGGTCGATGATGAAATGTCCTCCTCCACCTGCTCTTGAGCTGCGAAACTGTGAGCTTAAACACAGGCTCATGAGCTTTAGGCTCTCCACCAGTTCCCCGGCACTCCTGGCCGCGCTGCGCGTGGATCCGGACGAGGGGTTGTTGCTGCCGCTGGAACAGCTGGATGGGCTTCCCTGTCCTTTAGAACCCCCTCCCCCGCCTCCTGCATTCCCACCACTACCTCCACTACCGTTGCTGCCGCCTCCAGGGGGGCTACCTCTGTCCGGTCCAGAGTTGCCCTCCCCTGGGGGTTTGCTTTGTCCTCCACTGCTGCCACCCCCTCCATTCCCCCCAGAGTTTCCTGGCGGTCCTTCACTGCTGTCCCTCCGGTTCCAGCTGTATGTGAACCCGGATTCTTTGTCCAAGCGCCGGCGGTGGCTCTCAGAGTCGTCATCGCTGGTCTCCGAGCTGGAGCAGCTGGAGCCGCGGCCTTGGCTCTTGCGGCGGTGGTAGCGCTTTTGTGCTGTGCCGGGTGATGCCATGTTCATCTTAAGACGGCTGAGCTTGGGTGGCAGGCTCTCGTCCATGTCAAAGTCGTCGTCCGACTCGCCCTCCTCCTCGAAGATCTGATTAAGCACAGGGGCGCTCTTGCGTGATGTCAGACGGTTGGTGATGGATGGTGGCTTGCGGCGCAGGATTACCTGGGTGGGTAGTGGAGATGGCTCTTGCTCCTCCTCTTCCTCCTCATCCTCCTCCACCCGGAAGAGGCAGGTGCGCTGCTTGGCAGAGGCTGATGCCGGTAGGGCCACACCGCTGGCTTTGAGGGGATTTGGAGGGACAGGGGCTGTTGGGCCGGATGGAACGGAGCCACCGCATGCCTCGTTGCTCTCCTCCCGCCGGCCCAGCTCCAGGAGCCCTTTGCTGCGGTGGCCGTTCAGCAAGTTCTCAGCACTGCGGGCCGGAGACTGTGGTCCCCCTGCGTGAGAGATGGACGAAGCCGCCAGACTGTCCTCAATGTCCTGGTGCATGTCGATTTTAGTTGGCCAGGATTGCCTGTGAAAAAAATAGACATTGATCCGAATCATTTTTTTGATGACATTTTGTGCTGTGAAAATTCAGCACTCTCTTCAACAGACAGGAGGGGTAATCCAAACTACAGAAAACTATTCCTGGTACACAACAATGGTATAATCTACATAGATACATCCAGAAATGGCTAACTGACTGAAGTATCACAGAACAGCCATTTGGAAACAAATGAACCTTCATGACGGAGACAGTCCTTGACAAAAGGCAGACCTGATTCTCCAGCCAAGCCTTTAACAACCCACTGAATAGAGGGGCATGGTGAATCACAGGATGACTTGCAGACTTAATGTCCTGCTTTTGCTTTGGTGCTGAATAAAGGAACGTGTTGTAATGAGTTTATCTGCGCAAAAAAAGAAACCAGCATTGCCTTAAAGGGGTATGAAGCTAAGTGACTCATATGAATAGTACTTACTGCATTGTACACTCTTAGGTTGTCAAAACCACAGCTAAATCTTTTTCCACAAAACTTCTGTTGGTATGGCGACAAGCCAAACAGGGCAACATGATCGTGTCCTAGCACAGAGACAATACTGAGAGCAACAATACAAAGACTGAAAGAAAAATCTGTAGAAAGGCCACTTGCTCAGAATTCTCACCACATACAAACAGAAGCATTTTGTGTGTTTGTAGTTCAATTAAAAGCCAACTCTTTGTACTTTGTTGCAGCATTCCTGTATCTACTAGTCCTCCATAATTTGTTTAAAAAACATTCTGAATAAATAGATTTCAAAACGACCAAATGAGATGGATGTAGTAGATACCATTTATATGCATATCCCCTCCTCTCTCCTCTGCTTCTAGACAGTAGCAGCAGGATCACTGCTTTTCTAGGTCAGTCCAAACCAATTTCACAGCCCTTAAACACATTTGTCACCCTGCACAGAGTTCAGCGGCAGAGACAGAATATGTGCTGGCTGTCCTTAGAGTGCAGTGAGAGACAGAAACCCTCACATCCAGCAGAACCAGCCTCAAGGGGAGACCATTACTGAATCCTGCTCCTCCATCAGGACCGCTTGAGCTAATGTGTGCCAGCGAATGGATGTTAGCTAAGACATACAGTCAAACTTTGCTCTGGAACTACTCATTTATATCCTCTGTCTTTCTCTTATTTTACTGGCTAATCCAGAAGAGACACCAAAGAGCAAAACAGCTGATGCAGAGAACTTGGAAAATCAGTTCAAAACAACTGAAACAGAGCAATCCAAGACTGTCAATGAGGCAACCACTTTACTCTTGAGTCAGTTTTGGTCAATTTCAGTGTACAAGAGGGCTCATATTTATATAGGGCTGGGAATCTCTAGGCACCTCACAATTCGATTACGATTCAGAGGGCTGCGATGCAATTATAAAACGATTATCGATGCATCTTGATGCATCTTTTTTTTCTATATAGTATTTATATTTTCTCACTGTGTGAGCTCAAGTTTCGAGTTCAAGTTTATTTGTCACTTGCACAACATGTCAGGACATTTATGCATTGAAATGCTTGTGGTGAGGCTCAGCTAATCACTCTACAGAAAGTAAATAAGTAAAAATAAAAATACAAGAAAAAAACCAACTGAAATATATTAAATATACACAAAATATACAAAAAAAATATATACAGAATATAGAGACAATATACATTTGACTAAGTGACTAAGTAACTCGGTGTCATTGTTATTTAAAGTGACTTGGTACTTTTAAAGCAAAGTATTTGTAATGATCCATAATGAATTTACTTCCAATATCTTTTTTAATAAAACAAATGGAAGTGATGTGGCAAGTGAACTAGAAGGCTCTCATTCACTGCTCTTGTTTAGAGCACATGAGACGCTGCTGCTAATTATCTGCGATAAAATGAGCAGTTACAGTGAAATAAGATCCAGTGGTGATGGACGTCCACGCAGCACATTACAGCTATTCTACCCGTTTTCTTTAGTGATTTTATAACTTCGGTTTTGGTCTCATTGTAGAGACGGGGGGATCGCTGTGTCAGTAAAGTATCTTTGAGACGGGACGTGCACAACATAGCGCGAAAGCCCTGTTTCGCAACAACTGAGAACCGGCCTGAGAACCGGTGTGCGAACTGCAGGTCACATAGCAACGGTGCGTTATTCGCATTTATAAGCAGCGCAGCTGGTTTCCTGGCACGTTAAATAGAGACATTTAACTGATCTACTTCTGAGGAAAAGTTTTCTGGCGGAGATGGGAGGAAAGTGGCTGTCACTGAGCTAAAGCTTAAAGCAGAGCAGAGTAAATCTGTGTTTTCGTTTATATTGTTTATATAGCCTATACTAGGACATTATCACATACTGAGACATACTGGACATTAAATGTTGTGGCTCCCAAGGTGGTTTGATATTCGTTGAAAGGACAAAATGGCTCTTCTTAACATTTGTGTTGTGACTCCTGACCTAACCTCGCTTTAATGCAGAGGGAGCCGGTCGGATTTCTCGATCATCCATGTGTGTTTTTGTTATGTGCCGCCACAGACTGTCCGGGCGCTGCACTTCCGCACTTCCAGGTTCCGCCTTATGCGTTCCGTCAACATTACGCTATAAATTACATTTGTGAATCGATTCAGAATCGTTCACGTCCGCATCGCGATGCATCTAAGAATTGATTTTTCCCGTACCCCTAATATATATATATATATATATATATATATATATATAAAAAGAACTAGACAGAATCACACGTACGATGAGCCCCGATTTTATATTAATGTTCTTACTCACAAAGTTTGATAAGTAAGGCCTAGTTCCAGTACTGTATGTCTGAGACTGACTGGCCCTAATATTTACCAGTTAAGACATTGAGGCTGATGCAAAAACATGGCTATTTCTTTACTTTAATCTGCTCTTTTCTGAAAATAAGGTGGTTTCTCAATGCTGATGTTACATTTATTTGATAAATAAATAAGATATAGCTTGTGATACACACTTCCAAATCTGAACACCTGAATAGGAAACACATGAATATGCAAGGGTCACGTTTTAACATTATTCGGAATAAACTAAACAATAACAAGTGCTGACAGATCTAAGTTATATTGTAGTGAAGGAATTTCTGAGCTAAAACCAAGTCCCTAGCTGGAGCAGGGCTAGGCTGCAATACCTGAAGTGGGCCTTGATGTTGCTGGGGCTGGAGGACCGTGGCTGCACCTCCTTCTCTTGCTTCTCCCGTAAGATCCTCTCCGCTAGCAGGAAGTAGGTAGCCGTGATGTGGTTGTACTTGTTAGTCTCTAGGGCTCTGAAAGGGACCAGAAAGACAGGGTGTTTAGATGTGAGGGCAAGAGGGAGGAGATCCAAAGGGAGACAGCGGAAAGGCAATAACCCTTTAGATCATGTAATAGGCAAGGAACCTACCCATAAAACATCCAAGAGGATAATAGTACCTCTAAAAGTCGAAGCAACCAGTATTCTGTCCTATATTCTACCCAAAGTTGTGTGACGAAAATAGCAGGGAATTATAAAGAAGCATGCCAAGTCCGCATTGATTTCTGTGAGCCCTCTCATGCTGATCTAATGGAGCTGGCTACAGCTAGCATGTCCTCGGCATGGCTCCAGTGCTCAGCACAATCCAAGCACATTTGCAGTCCCTCCTCTCTGCTTCTCAGGGATTACACGTTAATGAACAAACAAATGGCCTCTCGGCAGCCACAAAATTGTGCTAGAACAATGATCTCTTGGAAAGACTTGAATAGGGCAAATTTACTGGCACATCCTGCATTCAGTGCTCTTCTGAGGTGCCCTGCCTGCAAAAAACACTGGCAGTCCAAGATGCAGTCTTCGATTCTTATGTTAACTCAACTGCTCTATGAGTCACAAAAGAAGCATGCGTATAATTTTCAATACCATTACCAATTCCAGTCCCTCCAATTTGACACGGATATGAAAATGTTTAATAGCTTCTTTGCATCTTGCTACATATTTCAGTAGTGTACAAAGCATAATATCAACACCATTTACCTCTTTGGCTTTAAGTTCTCAACAACAAACAAGAAGCAAGAAAAAATTAAAAGAAAAAACTGACCTAGGCAGTTGTACTTTGTATTCTGGTGCCAATAAGAAGAGATGAAATTACTTCTAAATTTCAGACATGCTTAAAACATTTTTCATGCATCTATAGTCAGCAGAATGAGAAACCACAAAGTGCAAGCTTCAAAAAAGTTATCTAAGCAAGAATAAATGTAGTTTATGGCGCACATTTGTCCAAAATAAACATGAACACCACAATTCTGCACAATTTCGGCTCATTTTGGTATTTAATTTCTCAGCTTTATATTTCTTCTCTCATTAAATAAGGCTTTACAGACTATGTTGGTGAGATATTCATCAGTAAATGAATCAAAGTTATAAACATATACATCCACCAACTCAGAAACAAAAGCACATTCTGAAACAGACTAAACACTAAGAAAAAAGTGAAGAAAAAAAAAAGTGTAATATTGCGATATTTTGGGTTTAAAGATGTACACATACATTGAGGCCCAAATACCATTAGTTTTATCATTTAATTAAGAACATTTTAATGTGTATTAAGCCCAGCATTAGACATGCAGATTTGTTTTCTGCCTTAATCCAGCCTTTTTTATTCTGTTGCAACCATGGTTTCTGTCAGCGTTGAGTTTATGTTAAGAATAGTCTGATAAGAGTAGTGGATAATATGTAATGCATGTGGGAGAATGAGGTTTTATCTCCTGTTTTGGCAAGACTCAAACACTGCTATAATATTAGAGTCACTGGGTAAGACTGCTCTGAATAAAAGCATTTATAAAACATGTAAGGACAATGCCTGTTTTGAATGTCATCTACGTTATAAATAAAAGCATCCGCTAACCATGTAAATGTCAGGACAACGCTTTCTGAATGTTGATTTTTCCTAATTGTTCTGCTTCAATTAAAAAAAAAATAAAAATAAAAATGTGTTCATAAAGTTTTTATTTGGAGGCATAATTTGAAGTTTAAAGTAATAAATCACAGCATACTGCAATATGCAATATCACAGTTAACAGCATATCACAAATCTTTAAATACCAAAACACAATTGTACCATGATTATATAGTACTGTGGGACCTGTAGCAACTCCCACACCTACTAACCATGATTAATTCCATAACACTAGTATTTATTCACCTGGCAGGATATATCGACTGTTCATAGCAATGGGGTTTCCCAGTTTCCTGGGTTTGACAGAAAAGATACAGCAGAGAGACTGATGTATACTTTCAACCGTCACCCAGCATGAAACTTTCACTGCATGACTCTTGTAGTACAAGATGCTAAACCCATTTCATGATCCCCTGACAGTAGTGCTAGCAATTCTGTAGGTGAATATCATCATGAAGAATAAAAGCTAAAGTAATCTAGTGTCTCTTTCTCTCTTTTTAATATGCAGCTTGCACGTTTCCTGAAGCCAGCAGCAAGCCAGTATGATGAACATGAAATTTACTTTTTCTGGTCGATTAATGATGCACAGTAATGGTTGGAGGAATGGATCATTCAAGTTCAATTGTTCCAAGTTCACAATTTTTTCAGTGTTCACAGACCTAAACATCTAGCACAATGAAATGAACAAAAGAAAAATTTCCAACAAATGAGAGCACACAGACTGAGCGTATGAGAGAGCAACACATGGTCTTACATAAAAGAGGAAAATTAAGTAATTACACCTAAGAGTGAGTTATGAACAGGAGCATGTTGTTGCAACACTTACTCAACAATGGTCTCACGGTCTGCGATGTCTCCTAGCACCATGCGCTGGATGATGCTGTTGTGTTCTTCCTCAGACAGGTTCTTGTGGGACACAAGGGGTGTGCTGAACTTGGTGGCCGGGGAAGGGTCCACACCTTGCAGCCAGGCATGGCTCTCAATCTCTTCCAGTGAGGCTCGGTGCTTGGGATCTCTCTGCAGCATCCGGTTTATCAGACTGTTAAGGGGGAAAGAAGAGGACAATCAGCACCAATCAGAGGACAACCATGAGAAATGTTGGCCAAAATGTGGAAGAGAACACAGGCTTCTTAGGGTGGAAACAAACTGAAAGTGAAATTTCAAAACAAATCCAACACTGTGAAGGCAGAGCTCAAAGTAAGGGGCAATGTCAGACAAGCAACAAGCCTGTAGCACATGGATGAATCATCACTTAGCATAGCTGAAAAGTTCCCCAAAAAACTTAAATTAAGCATGTAGATGTGTGGTATGTATATGGTGAATGCATTGCATGTGGTAAAAAATTAACATTAAATCTACTGAAAAGGAAAAATGGTTATCTAACAATAGTGTTTTGCTAGCTTGTTTTGCTTGTGTATGCTGTTGAATGTACTCGAGATTTTGAAAGTATTGAATTCGTAGGCAGGTTTCAGAGGGCACTATTTTTGTTTGTGGTGGATTTCGCCACAACCCAGCCCTAAAACTGTAAGAAAATGTCCCAAGACAGAACTTGTGTTACAAGATCACGACTGGCCTCACAAGACTAGTCAGGAATAAAGCCGGTAGCCATTCTGTGTCACACCAGAATCAATGGCCTAGCCTTCAGGACGAGCACCTTTGCCACTCTGTATCCATAGCACTTACATGACGAAGTTCCTTTGGAAACCATCTAAGAAAAGGCAGCCACAGCAGACCTCCCAGATACGATTGTTAGCCAGAGAGAAGCGAATAAGATTTGTATTATAGTAGAGAAAATGACTGGAGGTCCCATGGCTGTGTGAGCAGAGACGGAGCAATCCTCAGAGCAGGCCGCATCAGCATTCAGCACACGCACAATGCCAAATTACAGCTCAACCGCCATGAAGAAGCGCCACAGCTGAGGTTCAGCCAGCTTACTGCCCCAGCTTCAAAATCACTGCTGCTTCACTGAAGAACCAGCCAGGCTGCATATTATCCACGGGCAAGAGACTGGATTCTCTTGAGCGGGAAGAGAGAAAAGATAAAAGAAAGAAATGGGGTGGGATTTTTTTCCTGTAACCTTCCAAGTACACAGACAGCCAGTACCAGAGGACATAACTACCCAAAAAGGCCAATATGTTAAACAATAGGTCACCGGTCAGCACTTATTTTAGCAGCTAAACTAGCTAATTCTTCTGTGACACATTTTGTTCACCATTAAGAATGAAGGCTATCAGACTGAAACCCCCTTCACAGTATTTGAAGAACAATCATGATAATCAGCTCTTCTGGCAACAGCAGTGCCCATTAGAATCCCACAATCACTCAGTAATCAACAGGGGCAGGGGCACTAAATAGCAGGGTTCAAATTTAGCCTCTCATCAAGTCTAATATCAATGTTCAAGCAATCATGAGAAACTGACCATATTGTTAATAGAACTTGAATCTTGAGAGGAGGACATACGTCCTTGGCTCTGCTGTGAGTTTGCTTAAACAAACAGGTTGGCCTATGTTTCCTATAAGAGCAAAGCAGCACGCATGTCATCAAAGCGGCACGCAGGTCATCAAAGTAGATCCTATTCCGCATAAGGCTGCTGTACTACTGATCAGAAATTACAAAGAGTTTAGAAAATACCTGTACAAACTGTACAAGTGCCGAACAGAAATGTAAGCATGTTCTCATTTCTTCATGTTAGTCAGGCCAGGTATTTAAGTCCCTTCGATTTCTCTTATGAGCAGTTTCAGGACAACATAATACAGCCCCAGTAGAGTATCTGGCACAAGGAAAAAGGACAGCGCGTAGAACCCAGCCAACAATTTACTCGGAGCCCAGCCCACATCAAATTTTACACATTCGCCAATAAAATATTCATGCCATGCTAAAGCGTTCCATTTCTGCTCTGTGCTGGAAAGACGTCCACCAGTGCAGTGGCTAAAAGAAGAAAAGGGCTTTATCTAAAATGCATTTTCTTTTCTGAAAGGGTAGATGCCTCCTGCAGCAGTTTGGAGATGACAGCTATGTCTGCTAAATTCACACATGGCCCTTTCTGTAGCCTGTCAGAAAAAGGAGGTCGCTGAATAACTCAAATTATGCTTATCAGCTAAAGACAAGCTCAGATTTTTCGAAAGCCCTCGGTTTGAGGAGCTGGGCATGGTGGGGAGACAGAGGGCTGGGTCACTGCTTAATGGTGTCTATTTGGAATGCAAATCAAATGTGTGAAAACAGAGATAGTAATTTAATAAGACAGAAAATTACACAACAGGGAGGCAACCAAATTAATCTGCTTAACATGCTGGCTTTAAAATTCCTCCATTTGCAAATGCTTGTCAGATGAAGATTGAATATTATGGACAAAGGAAGAGAGAAAATAAGAACAGAATTTCAAATATGCCTCACAAGCTCAATCTACAAAGGTAGACAAAACGAATAAATAAAAAAAAAATACATGAAAACAGAGAAACCATACAATTACATACAGTAACATGAAGTCAGTCTTAAAGCAATCAGAGCAAGCCATTCACTGACTTTTCTTAAGTTCTGCACCTTAATGTGCAATTTTACAGTGACTTTCACCATGCTGAGTGACAGACAGCCAAGTCCTAAGGGCTATGACATCAGGGCCATTATCTGGTGCATGATTAAATGCCCCTTTTAGTTATGCTGTATGGGCAAAGTTCAGAAAGGCTAGTCACTATTGTGTATGCCTATTTAATAAAAGCTCATATCTAAAGCGGTCACTGCACAAATGAGCTTTCTATTATATAGGTTATTATGAAGTGTTTGTACTGGTTAGCTGCAAATATGAAAGCTAATGCTGCCAATTCAGGCCTGAAGCAGATTTACAGCAGATCTTGATTAAACCTTTACAATCCCTATGATATGCGAAAAGCAGCAATGATGAGTCTGTGCATGCATCAGATCCAGCTTCTGTCTGCCCTGCCAGACTGCTGTCAGCGGTCAGCTCCCAAGAGTCTGAGCATGGTGCCTATCTACAGCACACCACAGAGCACTGATAAGATTCCAATTCCATTCTAACGTCCACGCAGTCAGCACAGCACAGCCAGCCAACACAGGGCCAGCTCACTACAGCTTAGAAGGAAAGCTTTCTCTCAGCTACACTTACACACCACCTTGGAGCAAAGCCCAGAGGATAAGGTTTACATCATTTTTTTGAGCACAACACCGCTTGCATGTTTAAGGTTAAGATCACGGCATGATTTGTACATCTCTTAAGAATAAGGGTAAAATGTAAAATCTAGAGGAACAAATAAGGAGGATGTTAACCTCCCTTTTCCTAGGCATAAACTAAATATATCCTGCTCCTCATGCGGAAAGGCTGCAGGGACGGCCACACAGAAGTGGAATGCGGAACCTCTTCCTGAAGAATATGTCCTCCACGTTTAGTAGTTTTGATGAAGAGAGCACAGAGCAGAGCCCATGTCTGTTCACAGATTTTCTCCAAGCCAAAAAACTAACATATTGCCTGAGCAGGGATTTCCAGCAAAAAAAGTGCTGTAATGTTACCCACTTTACTTTTACTTAGTCTTGCAGGCCCAGACGTGATCTTTTAACGAAAACACAAATCTAGGAACAACCCTTTAAACTTTTGGAGCTGAATTGTGCCGAAATCCGCTGCACACAAGGGTGCGCACCCAGTAAAACCTGCTCACAAATCCCTCTAGTCCGTTTAGCTCAAACACAAATCTGATGGCTCATCCTTTCCTGAGCATAGCCGCCAATTCTTTCCACATCACATCTGGTTCAGCTGTATCACTGTAACTGTGAACAGCACAGACTACAAATAGCTGCTGGTAACCCGCCGTTAACTGTTAACACCAGTCCAGTGATGTGTTCTAAAGCTAAAGTATAGTAATAGTTTAACAGAACTGTGTTCTCTTTTCTAGAGGTAATGTTCATTTTTACCGAACATAATGTGATTTCCACACACATTCATGCTTTTCACCTTGTTATCTTACATTACCTCCATGGCCTAATGACAGGCCTGCTGTCTTTGATACTTTGAGTTCCACTTTCATGAACTGTTGGACTGGTTTAGAAATTTCACACTCCGTTTGTTCCCTCCTTCATAAGTCTACATTTCCTCACATATTTTGCCCAAATTTTCTCATGGTTCTCCCCAGACACTCTCATTACATTGGCCCCAAGACATTACTAATTACTACGCACCAGTGAGTTACATAACCCTAAGAGCTCCACAGAGCCTCATAAAAATCCCTGTTACAATAAGACAAACTTGGTTTAGCAAGTTATTAGCCTCCTTAACTCCAAGATTGATGCAAAAAAGTGGTTATGTCCACCATCGTATCCACTCTTTTTTGAAACTGATAAAATGATTTTACTGTTGACAACAAGGACTTGCATAATTATTATATATGGTGATCAAGAGGGTATAGTCTGATGGCAAAACGGCAGGAGCAAACCTAATTACAGGCTTCACTAGGGAAAAATGAATGGCAAATTAGCTACTTCGGTAGAATCACATTCAGCCTGAACAGGATAACTATAACAGCCATTTAACCCCTCATATCAAGCCACAATGCAACAAAATGCTGATATGTATTATACTCTTAAAAAAAGTTCTTAGTTTGTTTCAGATTAGCACTTTTAGACTTTCAGATTTTCAGTTTTTATCTTTGAACAGAGAATGGGCGAACTCTTTTCGTGAACACAAAACTTAACAAGTGATGATGTGCAGTTTGCACTATTGGTGGGATATACGCTTCCATCACGTGCTGGCTACATAAGCCTTGGGCCTCCAGTGGAAAAACTAAAGAAGCAAACTTCACACACCAAACATGTCTTGACTGATCAACTCCACATGGGGGAACTGTGTAAAGGTAATACTATTAACCTAATACAGAACATAATACATAATTCTTTAAAAGTAGTTAAAAAAAATGTTATAAAAACATGTTTATGTCAATGCCATAAAAAAGGAAATAAAGGGTCCCCACTGTTTTTCCTACTTGACTGATCCTGTCTTTTCTAAAGAGACAGCAGATGGAAATTCAGTAATGCTGGTAAACCAACCACTACTCCCATTAACCACATGGTGAGCAGCTCTGCCAGTTAGCTTCATCTTCTTTTCCACAACACTGAAACATGACACACAGCAGCCATTACTAGGTAGAAGAGTGTGATTTGAGAGATAACCATGCTGTTAGGACCACAGTGTAACTTGATGCTCTCACTCTTATTGAGATTCATAAACTGTCCACATGGTCCAAGTGGAGCAGCAAAACCACAGCACTGCAATAGCCACTGGCAGGAAGTTTATGCTGCACATGCCAAAGTAAACAATGCAGGGCAAAGGAATGGAAACAAAAAGCATTACGGGAGGAATTTTCAGAAATGCCCTATGGAGTTCAAGACGGGGGGAAGACACACCCTGCATAGAAAAGATATTACACAACTTAAAAACGGCACAGTGGTGCAACCAGTTAAATGGCTGCTGCCTTCAGATAAGTCTCCTGGGTGCGCCTGTCTGATGTCTATACATCATTCAGATGTAGTACAGAGCTAGTTAATCAGATATTCAGTGCTACAACATAGGGCTGGGCAATGTATCAGAAACTTGTGATATGCCTGCAATGATTTTTTGAGAGATAAAAATTAGGCAACTTCATATATATTTCAGTGCTCCTAATGCTTGTTTTAAGCTGTTATGCCTTCCACTGCAGTACAGACTCTGTTCTAGTTAACTGATGTTACAAGAGAGAATAAAGACTCATACATGAGAGCACAAACTCGAATGACTGGTACTGAAGTGAAAATAAAAATTGCTGGACGGCACCAATGCTAGTGTAGTGTTAGCTGGCTACACGTGCAACCCACCGCAGTACTGGCTCATTTTCTGTAACTGATGCTCAAATAACACCCGTTTAGAGGACAAACAATCCGAGAGACTGGTTTTGGACTGACCGACGGAATCAAACATGTTTTGTGGAGGGTGGCGTGTGTGTAGATTTTAGCCTGTTAGCAGTTAACCACTCGTTTGTGTAGATTTCTTCAATATTTCCTGGTTCTAATTTAGCAGCACAACAGATGGAAAAAGAAACAGTAACCGGTCTCAGGAGTTCAAACCAGCGCAGAACAGCACAGAACGGCCCTTAGAACCATTTGGCTCGACAGCGGAAAAGAGGCTTGTGTGTTCATTTACCGAAGAACAGACTTTAACGAGTATTTTAATTCTCATAGCAGCAAACATTTGTAACCTACTTGGCAGCAATTTGCTTACTTTTAAGAATTACTGGATTTAATACAGGCTTTCTAACCTAAATTACGTGTATTTTTTCAAAAGTATGCATGAAAATTAAAATATGCATTGATTATGGCGAAAGGCTGAAAATATCAAGATATACATTTTTAACTATCATCCCGTCCTACAACTGCAGTGTGTCAAAGTTAAAGAATGATTCATTAGTTATCCATCAGCGTCAGAAATGTGTGGTAGTTGCAGACAATGAAAAACCAAACAGACCAACAGAGAGAAAAAAGAAAACAACATCAAGAGCCGCTGAACGGAAGTGGGGGTGGGGCATGGAAAAAATAGAACGTCCTGTAGTTTCACCAGCTTTAAAGCACAGTGCCATTTCAAATGGTAGTGTACTCACAATGACCACCCCTCATCATTACCATCCTGATTAAACTGCCCAATAATGATGAGAACTCAGGGACTATGAAATGTGAAGTGTCCTAGTAAATTATTAACAGACAAAATTAAAATCTATTTATGTGAGTACTACAATAAGAAAGAAATAAACAAAAATCTAATTGTAGCCTGTAGAAAAGGATTGGCTGAACCTCCTTATAAAAGCTCTGGGAACAGCTGTTTGGCTAAATAGGAGTTTAAAAAGGGGAAGAAAAGCACAATACCACTCACACTTGATGAATGCATGCTGACTGAGGATGGACTATCCAGACATCACAGCCCCTGGCAGTCCATAAATGCCGTTAATCATAGTGTGGGTGACAGCTAACACTTCAGGGGTTACAGCACAACAGTTCTCTACAATTTTGCTACAATTTCCTCCCCATTTAAAAAAGTCAATTGAGGGGGCATAACTTGGGCTAAAAGCCTCAGAGTACATAAATTAAAAAAAAATAAAAATAAAATAATACACACACACGCAAGACCAGGAAGCACTGGTCCAGCATGAATATTTGGCTGTACAGCTTGCACTAAATAATCAGGACATGATTATTCACTGACGACGGCTGAAGAGGTGGACCAATTGACTGACCTGCAGTTTCTCATGTGCATATCATAATAGCTGAAATACTGGTGTCACTAAAAACATCGTCCCAGCCTTGACATTGTCTAGTAGAGTGTACAGGAGTTATATCAGTGCTGACCCGGCTATTATAAACTTTAATCACTTCGTCTTCCCTGTATGGGTGCCCCAGGACCCCCAGTAAATAGTCAAGTACATGCCAAAAGCCAATTAACACAGCCCTAACATGCCCAATACCTGTTAATTAAAATTTTTGCACCAAACACTCCAAGCACTGACAATCTGTAAAAACAGAATTAGCAAATATCCAACGGGTTTTCCCCGTCCACGATAAAATAGTTACAGCTTTAGCAGTCAACTGTATTTTAAATGACCGTGCTTTGCTGAAATTTCACTCATTAAACAAGGACACACAGGAGACCAAAGGGAGTTGAGCTGGTCATCTGCAGTGCTGTTCCCTGGAGCGACTCAGGTTAGGTATAAACCTCAGGGAACCAACAGCACTCAAACAGCAAGTAAATTTGAGAACACAGAACATCTGCCACTTATTTAAAACCACAGCAAATAATATCAAAGACACTACTTTATTTTCTGATAATGATACTGAAACCTTGAATATCACCAATGCCAATCTAATATTTTTAAAAACTAAGCTCTGAAATGAAATATTTAAGTTTTGTATATTTAATATTGCTATAATGAAACGTGCAGCCAGTGCATGTTCATGATTGCATGACAAATATTAAAATATACATGATTTTTTTTTAAAAATGGTTAAAATGCCCCTCCCTACTAGCTACTTTTGTTCTTATGGTAAGAGGCTATGTGGCTGTTACTGTAATCAAGTGACTAATTCGCTTTACATTTTGTTGCTCCCCATGTACTTCTGTGCTTTTTCAGGGTAGATCTGTAATAGAATATGCACTGGATTTCTTTTTAGCACCCATACATACTGTGAATTGGATCAGCATGTGTCTCTAAGTCATATAATTTGGACTGGTTTCCAATTGTATTATGGGATGTGATACACTTCCTTCTGAAACAGTGGCACCCTAGAATATGTCAAACACCAACATGCTTCCTCAACTCACAAAGCCTTTTTTTACAACACCAAGCTTTCATAAGATCATCCTCCTAATGAAAGGGGAAAACTGTAGCAACGTTACAAAACACCCTTTTGTTTTGACGAACAAAACATATTTCTGAACATGAGAATTGGACAGACAGCAACTGGCATGATCAGGGAAGGTCACTGCTGTAAACATTAAAGCGAGGGAGGGAAGTAACTTGCTGCTCAAGGAGTGCAAATGATGCCATCAGTCAAGTCATGACAATGTGGCACCCATGCTGTGAGGAGAGCAGCCAGTAACAGCAGAAATGCTGCAGCAAACATACAATAAAGAATCAAGATTTTTGTTCAAAAGGTGGCCATGTACCTCACAATAACCACCTGCAGACTAAACAGCAATGCTTGCTGCATTGTACGCTTTTACTGAAACAGGGTTTAATGTACTAAAGCAGTAGCATTTTTGGTACTTTAATATTTGAACATGGATAGAAAGTGGTGTCAAGACGCTGTATCTATGCATATGAGGCCTGTTGAATATGTGCATGTGATTTTATATGCCATAACAGATCTTTATCTAGTTTTTGCAGCACGAACCAAAATGGCCAATGGTTTAACATTACGACAGTATTACGTCCGACACATGAATACCCACCAAGCAACAAGATCAAAAAACAGAAGTGCCCTTTTTAGAAATGCACTAATATCACTACCTCCGACTCAGCTCCATCACGCAGCCACTTCAGGTGGGAATATCATCTTTTCTGCTTTCTAAATTCTTCTAATTTTTTTTTAATTAAACAGTTTTATAGATGGTTCAAAACCTGATAACATAAACCATAGATCTGTTTACTTTAATGAAATCACAGTCACACATTGTTACTGCTGTATCAGAGAAAATTAGTAGAACTCCAGGCGGGAGCTGCTCTGCAACTACCAATTTTGCTCATGTAGTTACTTGAGAGCTATGCGAGTATTTTCTTAATTTTGTCTAAATTCAAACTAGAAAAACATAGAATGAAACCTAGCTGTGGCAAACTTTACAGAGAATGCCTGTCCAGGGAACTGGCAGTGTTGTTGGTCCAGTCCTGAATCTCTATAAAGGATAATGTGGCTTGTGGTAGGAAAGGATTCAGGGTTGCAGTGTTTTTATCTGATAATGTTCTGCGCGTATGGGAGAACAAGGTGTACTATGATGAGAGGGTACAGCAAACTTACTCTTTGCAGGCATTGGAGACATGGATTGGTACAGTGTATTTACAGTCCATGATCATGGTGAGGGTTTCACTGTCGTTGGCCTCCTGGAAGGGAGGCTGTCCACATACCAGCATGAAGAGGATCACTCCTAGGCTCCAGATATCTGAAGGACGAAAGAGAGACAAAACAAATTTATTTAAAACCGTTTCCTTTCAGGGAAGTTTCCTTTCTGGAAATGTGTTTTGTGTATGGTTAAAGTTTACAATACTGTGCAAGGTTCACATTGTACACACAGTGTCATTTTATGTTACGAAAACAGAACAAACAGTCCAACCAAAACATGGTATGTCAGTGTTGTAAGATTCTTTTACCACAGAGTATCAGCACGCATAGTATGGGTTTGTTAACTGTATTAGTGAAATCTTAAATAGCATGTGATATTGTTTTGAAAAAAAAACTGTGCTACTGATTATCAATTTTGCCCAGCACTACTATTGTTTCTTCAAATCTCCCATCAACACTAACTAAAACCAAAAATAGTTTGACAAGAAACCCTTAGACAGCTGTCCATTCACTGATATATAATAGCAAATGACACTGCCTATGAGATAAGTAAAACTGGTTTGTCAGGGGGAGTATAGCCAAAAATTGCACCCAGGGCCTTGGCTGTCACAACACATGGAAAGCCAGTCAAGCGAGCTCCTGACTGCTCAAACTACCCACTCACACTGAAAGCCTAAACTTAGCACAAATGTAAATGTGACTAATGCAATAAAATAAATAAATTACATAAATCTACTGTAGAGAAGTTATGACTTACATGAAAGTGTAGAAAACAGAACCATTTGAAATGAATAATTCAGAGCAAATGTTCTCTAACCTAGTCCCTGAAGACCCCCCAGATGTTCTTTGCTCTTTCCCAGCTTCCGACACCCAAACCATGCAGTCAAGAACAGTGGAAACCTGGTTCAGTTGTGACAAATGGGGCAGAGCAAAAAATTGGAGTGTCTAGGGTCCCTGATGACTGGAGTGGGAAACACTGATGTAGAGGACATCTTCAGGTCCAAAAGCACCTAATTCTAACACTGAAACACACGATTATGTAAAACCAGGAAGAGTGCATGGCTTAATATGAATGATGCTGTAATTAAAGTAAAAGGGAGCATAGAACATTTGAGCAAAATTTCCATCAGACCTTCATTCTCATGGGATTACACAGAACCACCCTCTTACTGCAATTCATTTCAAGATAGAGAACATCCTAGTAAACTTGTTGGGAAAAATGGAAAAGAAAAGAAACAGCAGTCAAACCTCAGCAGTGCTTCAGGGGGGTAGGGTGATTTAAAAAGGAAAGCATTGGGGCATGAGGGTTATTTTATATTGAATTTAACAAACTAATTACATTTAACATGATTAGAGAAATAGCGACTACACAGCTAGGTCCTTTACACATTTCTGTGGACACGGTTAAGTACAGTTTGAAATTCCAAGTCAAAACTAAGCACCTAAGAGGCTTGACTTGCTGCCAGTAGATTTGTTTTCAGCACATAGTTCCAGTGGCAGCCCACCCAAGCCAAAAAGTCTGTGTGCCCTAAGAGTGGCGGTGTGTTATGAGGACGTAATGAGGGATGCTTTATTGCATAATGGCACCTAGACATGTTCTGCTCTGCCACAGAGCTATACATATGGCCGTTAATGGAAACAGTCATACAGTCTGTGGAATGGAAGCAGGCTGCCCTATTCCTGCTGAGTCTGTTCAACTGTGATGACCCACAGAGCCCTAAGCTGCAGGTTCCATCTGACTCCTGACAGAATGAGTGCTGCAGAACAAAACTGTCCCAGCACGCTGCCTCAGTCGGGGCAGCGAATCTACAGAAGGGCAGAGGCTGTCAGTCAATTAGAAACATATAACGTATGCTACATACAGACACACTTCTAAGTGCATAGAGATATAGATAAGCCCATTAAGGGAAACAGACATACAGTAGACAAGGGATGCACCAATAAAATCTTTTTCAGACCGAGTCTAAGTACAATTACACATTTTTAGTATTCGCAGATACTGAGTCCAATACCATACTGAATTACCTACTTAGAATTAAGTAGTGTAAATGAGTGCAATCTACCTTAACAGTTAAACCGTTAAGATCTAGCTGATTTTAAATTATGTGCATTAGCTAGCTATGCTACATCAGTTACCTTTGACCAAACACCACTGCAGTTGAGAATAGCAGGTTTTGTTCCTCGTCAGAAAAGCGCTTATATAATATAGCTGCAAGTAAAGCATGTTTCACGGTTTTGATTCCGATCTGCCTCTTTCAACAACAGTCTCTGTAGCCCTGTGACAGCAGGAATCATATCCACGGCTAATCAGAGGAGATCACGTGAGGAGTTTTACACCTGAAGTCTTTTGTTTGGATAGTTGAGCTGTAGTTGAACATCCTCTAAAGCAACACCACAGTAATTTTAGAAATCTTGTTCTTTGGGGACTCATGTTGTATGTCTGGGTGGTCTCTTGTGTGTGGACAAAGCCTCCAATTTATGCTCTCACTGTATGAAAACCCTGGGTCCATGCTAGCGAAACGCTCTGTCCGCGAACAGTTTCACATAAAGCTGTTCATTCAAAGTAACGCGCTGTGCTCTGAGTACTGAGCAAAGAGAAACTGAGCAGCGCTGCTAACATTGTGCACTGAAGCTAAAAGCCAGGCGTGGATGTACATGGTAGGACAATATGGTTTCTCTGAAGCCCATTTTACAAATCACCGCATTAGCGTTCATACCTCGTAATTCTATTTAGTCAAACAGAGTAAAGTCAGCATAGACGGACTTTGGTAGAAACTGCCTGTTTTTCTAGCTTTTATGTCTCCATCCGTATTGGGGAAGCGGTTGTAATTGTGTGTTGTTAGGACCTGTCTAGGGGTTTGTAATGATCATAACATAAAAAAGGACAAAAGAGAGCCAGATGACGTTTAAACAGATCAAATCGTGTTATTTTCTTTTTATGCTGCTCTTTTGTGTACACGACACAGGAGAACGTCAGAGTGGGCATATGCCAAAACAACAAACAAAAACCAGCCTAGCTAGAGAGTTCAGAAAACTAACTTACCTATGGGAAACAAAAACAAGAAACAAAAATACAGTCAGTCTTTCCTAGCTCCCTAACTATACCAAAAACAGGAGAAAACAGTCAAAAAGAAATGGCACCCACTCCTACAACCTGGTCGGCACAAAAGTGAACGTTTACAGAGACAGATCATGAACTTACAGCTTAACTGTAGAGATAACTGGGTAGGGAACAAGAGGTAAAGCTAAGCTATTTCATTTGGGATGAGGATAGACAATACGCTAGCAATAAAACGAACAAGCTGAGCTGCGGTTCAGATCTAAAAACAATCGCCCCAAGCCGCCATGGAGGAAAGCCTCGATGACATCCGGCTCAGCTGTCGAAGATATACTCCACGCAATTTCAGCCAGCCAATCAGATGCAACTTCATTACGGGACTCCAGCCAATCACATGCACAAGTGGGCGGGTTCCTAATAAGCAAGGAGTATGAGTGAGAGAGAGAGAGAGAGAGAGAGAGAGAGAGAGAGAGAGAGAGAGAGAGAGAGAGAGAGAGAGAGAGAGAGAAGCAAGCAAAACAAACGTCCTATGGACGTATCAGTGTTTTAAAAAGAAAAAAAAAGAAAAAGGAAAATAGCAACATTTAAACAAAACTTTGAGACTCATCATTGCTTGGACTTATAAATGTATCTACACAAAAGCTCACCTCAGACCATACCATCACAAGATGTTTACACCTGCCTGTTCAGTTATGTGTGAGGCAACTCAACCAAGTTTGAGCAAACTGCTGGCCTGACAGCAGACAGCATGGCTCACCTCTGCTGAGGGCACAGCGGTGCTGAATATTAAACGCTCTGAGAGAAAGGTTAGCACCACATGATTTCACCAAGCATGCCATGTTACAATTACACAAATGGTGTGAACAAATCAAAAATCAAGTGTTCCTTTATGCCCCACTGCAGGATTTACCTACGAGTGGAAACTTTGCAGAGAGAGAGAGAGAGAGAGAGAGAGAGAGAGAGAGAGAGAGAGAGAGAGAGAAGGGACATCCCTAGGGCCAAAGAACCTCACTCCAGTTTAATTTTGAATGACTGCAGCAGAAAGTGCAGGCAGGCCCTGGCTTGCTGCTGCGCTGGGCAATGGACCACACCATCACGATGGATGAATCCAAAGGTGGCCTTAATCCACAGGCTGGGTGTGCGAGATACCATGCACAAGGAGGCCTCTACTGACAGAAGCCAAGAGTCTTAATGAGAAACAGAAATACCGTACTTCAGTAATTTCAGTCCATCACATGGTGACAATGCACAAGTAGCGCTTTATTACTTCCACTATTATATGGACGAACACTGGCAACCTAATTGCTCTATTGGCGGAGCACAAATCAGAAATCGTCCACACCGTTATATTTTTTGAGTAAAACACAGTACTAGGGAGGGTCTCTGAGCTAGGTGACCAATAAAGGTTAGTGAAAGTGGTAGGAGTAGGAGGCAAAACAAAATATTATTGGTTAATATTTTCCCCCACACACTGGTGCTAAAAATCAGAGGATGTGCAAAAAGAGTTGGGCAAATATCATTACAATGTCACGGAAGATTACAGGAAAACAAATTCTGTCATGCTCAATATGACCAGGGACACGAATTAACAAGGTAAAAAAAATGTTTTCAGGTTGATCATGGCATCAACCCATGATGGACTGAAAATCACGATGAAATAATAATGATCAAATAATCATACTGGCAATGGTGCCATGTTATGATTCGAGCAAAAGAAGAGCATTTCCTCTTATGTTCAGGACAAATCTGAGATATAATAGCCGTTTTCCCTCACAGTAAATCTGCTGAAGTTTCTTATGTCTTATATTTACACACTTATACCTTCTTTAAAAGGAGCAATACGTAAGATGATGCAACCTGTGGAATTCATACTCCACATTCCCAATAAATAGGGGCCAACATATCACCAGAAAGTTGTGGTGTCCACCTCTATCGTAAGAAATAAGGAAATGCACATTCCTTCCTCCTCCCTCTCCTTACCTGTCTAAAAGACAGAGTTCAGCATCAAACGTCATCCCTTTACTTGCTTTGCTTCTATTTAT